ACAGCAGGCACAGCAAATGCCTCCGGACAGAAGGAGCAGCCACAGAGGTGCGTGGCGCTGACATGGATGTGAAGCACACGCGAGGTGGGTCTCCCCAGCCAGGCTGGAGCCTCTCCAGGACGCAACCCAGCTTTACAGGAGCTTTTGAAGGCCACCCCCACGCAGGTCATGAAAGGAAGCTTAATGAGCGCAGCAACGCCGGGCACAGCGGCTGCCCAGGCAGGGTTAATAATACCACAGCCATCGCATAGCTACACGTGCCTTAACAGGCCACAAGATCGCCCCAGGCGTCTCATTTGAGGTCAGTCCTCCTGAGAAGTGGCGGTTGGAGACAATGGAATGAGGCTTTCATGAGGAAGCCGTGAGGCGAAGATTCACGCGCAGTTTCCATCCCACAATCTTGGTGTGTTTTTTTTTGAAATATGGAACGCTTCATGAATTTGCATGTCATCCTTCTGCAGGGGCCACACTAATCTTGTCTGTATCATTCCAAACTTAGTATATGTGCTGCGGAAGCGAGCACCTGTCCCACAATCTTTTTTTTTTTTTTTTAATAAACCTTTATTGTTCATATTATTATAAAAGTTCCTCATTTTTTCCCCCCTCCACCGGGTTCCTACCCCACCCTCTGCCCTTTCCCCACCCCCCATTGTCCTCATCCATAGGCGCAGAGTTTATGTTCAGTCTCTTCCCGCACCCCCCACCACAATCTTTTTTAAAGATATATTTTCATTGACTTCAGAGAGGAAGAGAGAGGGAGGGAGGGATAGAAGCATCAGTGATGAGAGAGAATCGTTGATCGGCTGGCTGCCTCCTGCTCCCAGCCTACTGGGGAGCGAGCCCGCAACCCAGGCACGTGCCTGACCAGGAATCCAACCGTGACCTCCTCCTGGTTCATAGGTGGATACTCAACCACTGAGCCACACCAGCTGGGCCTATCCTGCAATACTGAGCTTTTCCCACCTTTTCTAAGCCTCCATAAGACTTAGTGGTCATGTCACATTCTCCAGTTGCTGAGGCTAAAATGAGAGGGGGGGTGGGGGGATGGCTTCTAAAACTCTACCTGGTCAGTCCTGTCATGGACTTGTCCTCATTCCTCTTGCTAAGGTGACCGGACGTCCCGCTTTTGGCCGGACAGTCTCGATTTTTAACAATTTGTCCAGCCAAAAGTGGGACGTCTGGTCACCTTACTCTTGACGGCCAGATGGGGAGCATGACGGAGGCCGGAGGCTGGGCTGGCCGGGCTGTGCAGCACCCAGAGGTGAACGGTCTTGCTAACAGCGTTGCCTTCACATCCTCGCCCAGAAGATTGCAGGACGTGCGTCTCTCTGCGTCATAACAGTTTGCTCAGGGGAGACTGTTGGACATCTTCCCGGAAAGTGGACCCAAAAAATGACTGGGTGGGGTCAGCGGTCAAAGATATTTATAAGTAAGTACTGGAGTGACCCCGGCCAGTGTTTGCTAGTGCCTGGGTTGGCCTGTTTGACTTCAGGGAAAACAAACACAGGACCAGCAGCCAAATATCTGCTTTGGTCCCAGCTTCAGTTGGACCACAGACCTATGAGGAGGGTGATTGCCCCCTCCCATCTGCTAAGCACACCCCTGGTCGGCTCACAAGACCCAGAGCAAACAGTACATTCCTAACAGCCCCCTCCAGGACACTGCACTTACTCATCCCAGAGCCCTCGCCCATGCTAGTGGGTAGCCTGTCCATGTCCCCGTGTTATGTGCCTGTCCATGTCTCCAGGACTCGGGTTATTTAGAAACAGGGCCACTCCTTTCCTCTCTGTTTGAAAGGAAAGTGTTGACTACCGGGAATGAGTCCCAGAACCCGGAGTGCAGTCCAGTGACTTTCAAACACTCAATGGGCAGTCAGACATCCCTCGAGGGGTCCCAGATTGGAAAGGGTACAGGCTGGGCTGTGGGATACCTCCCCCCCCCCATGCATGAATTTTGTGCACTGGGCCTCTAGTATTTATATATTGTATATCATGATGTAGTAACATATATGTAAATATGTAAAACTTAAAAAAAAACACACATACAAAATGCTACATCTGGAATTTTGCCTCCCAGTTTACTCACTGTTATTTTCCCCAAAAGTTTGCGGTGGTGCACTGAATTGATTTTATGATATGCTATTGAAGGCCGACTTGCAGTTTGAAAACCATTAGTGATTAGTGTAGTTTATCTTTATCTGCCCCCCCCCCCTTATCTGTCTGTAACTGTTGAATGCTTCACACTGGGGCGGGGAAGAAGGTCTGACTAGGGAGGCAGCAGGGGGGAGTGATGGAGCATGGCTACACCATGAGGAACAATGTTCTGCTGGTCCCCTTCCCGCTCCAGTCTGGGCTGGGTTTGAGCTCCTGCCTGTGGGACTGAGGTTTGAAACTAACCAGAATGTCCACGAGAGACCTTATACATCCTTGGGCACAAGCAAGGCTGCTTCAGATACACGCTCAGGCATCAGTAAACGACAACCCTTGTACCAAATGCCAAATCCATTCATCAGCCTCTTTTTGGAAATAAAGTTTTATGGAAACACAGCCATGCCCATTCATTGGCATATGGTTAGGTCTGCTCTCATTGTAACTGCAGACTTGAGTATTAATAGTTTCCATCCAGATAGTAAGACTTGCAAAGCCTAAAATATCTCCTCTGTAGCCCTTTGCAGAGAAAGCTCACTAACACTCCGAATAGAGGCATTGTCCTCCCTCGCTGGGAGGAAAACAGAACTGGCATGCACAGAGCCTTTCTCCAGACGGGCCTAGCTGTCCTTCGTCCCTCGTCCCTCGCAGTGAGCAGAGCTGGGTGGGTCTCTGGTGGGACCCAGGCTGCAGCCAGCAGCGCGCTGTGGAAACAGGGGATGCTATGGTGACTGCAAACCCAGGACCGTGAGCAGGCTGACACCGGGGTTTTATTGGCCTCCTCAGTTCCTTGGGTAGGAAAGTGTGTGTGGGGGGGGTGTGTGTGCTAAATGCATGTTTGCTAAATATCCCTTCAATGAGGAAGGAATTGGGGGCCTGTGGTGTAGGAGCTGAGCCTAGCATAGCCCCTCTGGCAGGCATTGCCAGTGAAGGGCAGCCCAGAGCGGAAATCTCCTCTCCTTCGTGGAGGCCGTACAGCTCTCCCCAGCCACTTGGGCAGCTGCCATCACTGGCGGAGGTGACTAGGTGATGTTATAACTCACAGCAGACCAGTCTGTGCATATCCAGTGCTAAGAGCTGTTCTAAGCCCTTTACAGGTAGCCACTGATTTTTATTCTCTTGACAAGAAGTTCTAATTTCGTTTCATTTTACAGATGGGGAAACTGAGGTGCAGAGGAACTAGATATCTTGTCCACAGAAAAACAGCTAGTAAGTGGCCAAGCTAGAATTTGAAAATAGTATTAATATGATCTTTGTAGCTGGGGGGTGGGGGGAGGAGATTCATTGCTGGGATGACAGAGATGCTGGCTCATTCATTGAATCATTGAGCTTTCTTTTTTCTTTTTGTTGTTATCTGAGAATTTGTTCCTTCTTTTAACAAATCTTAAGGACTGTGCCTGTGCCTTTCTGTCTTGTCTGTAGCTGGTCTAGAGGCGGGCATGTTACCGGTTCTGGGCACCAAGATGTGAGACGTCTGAAGGAGATTTCCAACCGTGAACGGCCCACCCACCGGCGGGAAAGATGCCACCTGGGCCAGCGCTCCTGGTCTCTCAGCCACCATCCCTCCCAGAGTGCGTGCCTCGGAAGCTCTTACCAGGGAGACTGAGGAACCCTCTTGTTGAAACCATTTTTAGTCAGATATTCATTCTGTCACACAGACATTCTTCTCTCCATCACCCAGTTGTATTTCCTCGGTGGAGCTTATCGCTACCAGAGAGTCTCTTATTTACCAGTTAGCTTCCTGGTCTCTCCCCCCCACTTCTGGAACAGAAGCACTGGAGAACAGGCCTCCCACCTCCACCATGCACTGCTCTGGCTCCAGCACCCAGACCACGTCTCGTCAAAGTGTCAGGGAATCTAAATGTAAAGTAGAGGCTCACAGTTCAGCGGGGAAGCAGAAGAATGAGGTTATAACACAACAGAGCCAACGCCACGCTGGAAGCAAAACTCCCCGGGGGCCAGGTCTGCAGAGGAACTGTGCCGGGGGAGGCTGCTGCTGCTGTGGCCTCAGATTCACTCCCGCTCCCCCACACTTTCACAGGGAGGAGGAGAAAACCTGTCATTTTGAAGCTTCTCTTAAAAAGAGGTCACTTGGGGATTTTCTTGATTGTTTTCCTGTTTATGCTACGTTATTTAATTAGTCTTATGTTTCTTTCTTATAAATCTGTCTTCAGTGTGGCTGGTTTTCATGGACAGTCTGCTCCGAGTTCTCTGGCCCCAAATGTAGGCGGGGCTGAGTTTCAGTTTCCCTGCGTCCTTTTTTTTTTTTTTTTTTTTTTTTTTTTTTTTTTTTTAAATATATTTTATTGATTTTGTACAGAGAGGAAGGGAGAGAGATAGAGAGTTAGAAACATCGATGAGAGAGAGTCATCGATCAGCTGCCTCTTGCACACCCCCTACTGGGGATATGCCCGCAACCAAGGTACATGCCCCCGACCGGAATCGAACCCGGGACCCTTCAGTCCCCAAGCCGACGCTCTATCCATTGAGCCAAACCGGTCCCGGCTCCCTGCGTCCTTTAGGTCAGAGCGCAGCAGTCTGTTGTTTGTTCTTCATTTCCAAGGGCGCTGCATTTTTTTCCCCAGAGAGGAAGGGAGAGGGAGAGATATTGATAGAATCACCAATGATTAGAGAGAATCTTTGACTGGCTGCCTCCGGCATGCCCCACATTGGGGATCGAGCTTGCAACTCGGGCAATGTGCCCTGACCAGGAATCTAAAAGTGACCCCCTGGTTCCTAGGTCGACACTGAACCACTGAGCCACATTGGCCCGGCAGGGGTGCTACATTTAATTTAAAATGTTTTGGAGGCAATATTCAACCCAAGGAGCTGTATTTTCAATAGTGGAAATAATGGTGAAGAGTGATTGTTTTTAAGAGTTTTAAACCGAAAATCCTTTTTTAAATGAAAATATGTGTTTTTGTTTACAGTTATATGCAAAAATAAATAAGCAAGAGCTATTGTTTTAGGAGGTAACCAAATACAGATGTTTTAGGCGAAGCTGTGGCCTTCCCTCGAGGTGGGGAGATATGGCACATATTGGAGAGAACCCCGTTTCTAAAGACATGGCCACTTCTCAGCAGCCTGTGCTTTGTGCGGGCTCCTGTGTGGTAAGTGCGCTCTGCTCTTCTGGGGGCTGTTGCTTGCAGAAGGGATGTGCAGGCCCAGGCATCGGCACCTGCTAACGGAGCAGAGCTGGACTTGGCTTTCCCGATCCAGGACTAGCCAGTTCGTGTCCTTCAGACGGAATCTCTAGAATTGTAATCAGATTAGAATGTTGTGTTTTGATGTGAATGCCCTCTGAGCTTGAGTGATTGAACTCCCCTGGAAATGGACCATACTGTGTTATGACACCATTGTCCTCAACAACCATGTAAATAAAAATGGACTGATGCTGGGCTCTTGTGCTCTGATGAGATTCTTACAATAAAAAGTATATTCTTGAGGAAAAGCAGTTCTACATTCCTAGCCCCTGAACTGGTTCAAAATGGTCATTGTCAGATGTGTGGTGGCAATCAGCAGATGTCCAGCGGCCTAGGCCTGGGAACGTTTTCTTGTTGACGTCATTCAGCTGGTTACCCAGAGGTTTGCTGCATGTCCTGTCATTAACACACGATGTACTGGTTTGCCTCCAGGTATTGACACAGAGTGAAGAGTTCAAAAGTTTATTCCCCAGAGTCATTTAAAGCAAAAACAATCATTTCCCTATGCCTCAGCCCACTTGAAGTTAATCATTTAGCAGCTTGACTCCACCTGACTTCTTTACTCTCTTCCTCACAGGTCACGCATACAGTTGCTGTCACACTAATTCAACTCTGGCATTCCAGTGCAAAAACAGCCACAGACAACATGTAAATGCATGGTCATGTCTCAGTAAGATCTTACAACACAGGCAGCAGGTTGGCTCTGGCTCACAGGCCCTAGTTTGTCAACCTCTGTTTTAGAGCGTCGTGGGTGATGGTGCCTAGGAAGAGAGAGAGCATAGGCATGCCATCAGGATGTAAGCTGCCTCTGAGGAGATACGTGGCCGAGAGCTATGCCAGCAGAACCCTCTCGGGAGGCGGGCTCTGAAGACTGCTTCTAACGCAGCTGTAATTAGCGCCTGCAATCGCGCTTGCTAACTGCTAAGCCTCTCTTCAGGTGGGTGCGTTGAGGGAAGTAAGAGAGGAGCCTGACTCATTCTTGGGGCCCAGGAGCAAAGCAACAGTTGTTCCCTGACCCCAGAGGTTGTGCTGGCACCAGGGGACCCCGCTGAAGATGGGGTCTCTAGGGAAGGCAAGAGTTGAAGAGGAGAAGTCTGTATGTAGATGAGGAGGAAGCAGACATTTGCTCTATAGAGAGGTGTGGGCGTGAGCCTTCATAAGCAAGATGCTTAAGGAACATTGCATTTTCTTTTATAATCACAGGGAGTGAAGACGAGGCATAGGGTAGGTGGTCAACCAGTTGCCTCTAGGTTTACTGACGGCTACAACCTTGTCCTAGAGCCAGTGTTTCCCAAAGTGTGGTACGCGTACCCCAGGGGTACGGGAAGAGTTTGGTGGGGGTATGCGTTGCACCGGAGTTTGGTGGGGCTATGCACTGCACCATGCTTAGCTGCGCCTAATTCTATGTTCTCATGAGTATGAGGGGTACTCAGCGTTGCGAAAATTATAGGAGGGGTACACATATGTCAAAAGTTTGGGAAACACTGTAAGACAAACCCTCAGCGCCCCAGCCATTAGCCTCCACTCAGCATAGTGACCACAACGATTAGAACCAAGGACTGACGTCAACTGGGTAAGTCAAGGCAGTGCCTTCAGTTGCGGTGACAAGGTGTCACGCAGATGTGCTCAGCTTCTGTCCCACCAGGAAGAAAAGGCCTTCGTTGTTGGCCACAGTGTAACTTTGCGAGATCACATCAAACTGCTTGATGGCATAGCCGGCCTCTCGCACAGCAGCCTCGATTGTCTCCCGGTCCAGGGAGAGGCTGGAGAACCTCTGCTCCCCAATCATGTAGTAACTGCTCTTCAGGGCGTCCACGAGCACCAGATGGCCCCCCGGCTTGAGCAGGCTGCTGAGGTTCCTGAGGGCTGTGCGGTAGGTGGGGAGGTCCGGGCAGGCGGCGTCCAGGCACAGCGTGCTGAGCAGGCAGTCCGCCAGGGGCAGGGAGGCGGCACCCAGCGGCCGGCTCTGGGTCACGTCACACTTCAGGACCTGCTTGACTGCCCGCCTCAGTTTCTCCTCCTTCTCTGGCCCCTTCACTCTGAAACACAAAAACCAACAAACATTGTGCCACCTCATTCGTGGGGACCACAGGTCTCTGCTCGGGGCTGAAAACCTCATCATTGTCCCAGGAGTTGTATCTTTATGGAAGGAGAAACGAGAAACCTTTCTATAGTTCATTTTAGTTTGTTTACAGGGGAGAGCAGTCCCCCACGATCACAAAGATGCAGTCGCGTTCCCCCATGTGGGGAAATCGCAGGGGTCAGCACATCCAGAGAGCGATGGCCAAGCCTCTTCCTGGGAAAACACCTTTGTGGTCATGTTGCCCCCTCTCGCTCCTCCCCGCCTCCCGCCAGGTAAGTATGATGAGAAGCCATTTTTGTATCTGAATTGTATCTGGATACGTCCCCCTGTGCTGGGCTGAATCTCTTCATGGGGATGATAATGAAAATACCTAGCTGCCCACTTCTGCACTGGCCTGCCCCCATGAAATTACTCTTCCCTTTTCCTCCACTGCTTAAACCAGCACCTGGCTCGTCGATTATCATTTATTAACCAGAGGCCCAGTGCATGAAAATTCATGCACTGGAGGAGGGGATCCTCAGTCTGACCTGCCCCTTCTCACAATCCAGGACCCCTCAGAGGTGGGAGGCAACCTGGCAATCAGGAGAAGGTGACGCCCCATCACACCTCTGCTGCTACCACTGCTGGCAGCACAAGCCTCAGCTGGTCCTGGTTACCTGAGCCTCGGGCGGCCCTGGGGGGCTGGGAGGCTGAGGGGACTGGGGGACTCTGGAGGCAGGTGCCCCAGCAGGGCTGAGGGGACTAGGCACTGCCATCTTTAAGGGGGTGACAGTCAATTAGCATATTCCCCCCATATTGGCTGTGGGCACCGCCATCTTTGTGATGGTGTGAGGGTCAATTAGCACAGTGTTTCCCAACCTTCTCTCATGATGAGAATCACCTGGTGGAGTTGTTAAAACACAGATTCCTGAATCCCAACTAAGAAGTGCTAAACTAGAATTTTTGGGAACATATAGGTAAAATTGTATACTTAACTAGTGCTCTAAGACAGATTTTATATACAGAGCACTAAGTTAGGTATGCAATTTTACCTATATGTCCTCAAAAATTCTAGTTTAGCACTTCTTAGTTGGGATTCAGGAATCTGTGTTTTAACAACTCCACCAGGTGATTCTCATCATGAGAGAAGGTTGGGAAACACTGAATTAGCATATTCCTTCTTTATTAGATAAGATTATTATTTATTTATTTATTATTTATTATTACTCTTGCCCCCTCTACCAAATTGCAAGGTATAGCCATCTGACCCACACATATCAGGCAACAATGGGTTTTAAATGCTGAAATGGTGTTTTGTAGTAGCAGCTGGTTAATGAGGGGAGTGTGGTCATCCATAGACGTTTTTAGAAACTCTTAATCACTATCACACCACTGTGGCCAGGGCCTCTTTAGAGAGGAGAAAACTACTAATTGCCCTTCTCAGGCTCCAAAGCAGATTGCAGTAGAGAGTGTGTTTCTAAAGCAGATCCTTTTCTCATGGGCCTTGCTAGGAGTCCTGTCCTCCTCTGCCAAGTCAGTGGGGTTTCTTGAGAGAAAATCAGTCAATGTCGGGAGCAGAGGAGGCAAGGGCAGGAGGTGGAATAGAGTGCCTGGGTCCTCTTATAAATGGTTAAGGAGGAAGGAACAAACTGGTAAATTAAAAAACACACATAGAATGTATGAGAGAAACCGGAGACACAGACAAAGAAAGAAGAGGAAGCAACAAATCAGAGAGGTTAGAGAAGGGAAGTAGTGAGGGTGCAAAGTGCCCAGGAGGCCTCGGAGCCTGAATAATGGGAGCGATGATGGGGTACCCAGCTGATGGGTGAAGGAAGATGATGGGTGAAGCACCGGGGTGCAAATCCAGGCTTCGGTGCAGAGAACAGTCTCTTGGCTCCAGGAGAGAGCAGTCACGTGGCCAACAGGCTTGGTGGAGACAGCAGAGGATGGCCCGACATCAGAGCAGGGAGAGAGAGCAAGCAAAAGTCAATGGTTTAAATGAAACGTGGGGGTTTACCTCCCGATGGAGTGATCTGAGATAATAGCCATCAGTTGTGGACATCCTATATAAATATTTAGTTTAGATCTTAAGCCTGCCTCATATAATCAGTTTTTGCAACATCCTTTATATTTATTATAATTTTCCGTTTAAGAAACTTAGCAATAAACATATGAGAAGATGCATCCCATCCTTGACCATCAAGGAAATGCAAACCAAACTCTGAGTTACCACTTCACACCCACTAGGATGTCTATAATAAGAAAGACAGGAAATAGCAAGTGTTGACAAGGGAAGCTGGAACCTACACACGCTGCTGGTGAGACTGTGAAATGTTTAGCTGCTCTGGAAAACAGTCTGGAAGTTCCTCAAAGATTAAACCTAGAGTTACCACATGGCCCAGGCATTCCACTCATGGGTTTTTACTAAAGAGAAAAGAAAAATACGGTCACACAGAAACTTCTACGTAAGTATTTACAGCAGCACTGTTCATAATCGCCAAAGATAGAAACAACTCAAGCGTCCATCAGCTTGTGGATAGATAAATAAAACGTGGTCTAGCGATACAATGGACTATTATTCAGTGATAAAAAAGGAATAAACAATTGATAAGTGCTACAATATGGAAGAACCTTAAACACATTATGCCAAGTAAGAGAAAGCCAGGCACAAAAGGCCACATGTTATATGGTTCCAGTTACAGGAAATGAGCAGGAAAGGCAAAGCAAAGCAGACCAGTGGCTGCCAGGCACTGAGTGGATGGGGGATGAGTGTGACGGCTAATGCACAGGGTATTTGTGGGAGTCATGAAAACGTTCTAAGATTGTGTTGAAGTGTGAATATACTAATAGCTACAGAACTGCACACTTTAAATGGGTGAATGGTATGCTATGTGAATTTTATCTCAGTAAAGCTGTTATATGAGAGAGAGAGAGAGAGAGGTTGACAGAGACTCAGAGAGAGATAGCTTAGCAAGTTATTGGTTTCAGGGAATTCCTACCAACCAATAAACTGGTACACACAGGGAAGGATTACCCTTGATTGGGTAAAAGTGTAGGAGGGTGACCGATCTCTCCTGATTGGTCTGGACTCTCTGGCTTTCTCACTGAAAACCCAGCGGAGGCAGGGCTTAGGGACCACGCTAAGAAGTGTGCTTTTTGTCCCGAAGGCAGTGGGACGTCAGTAAGGGATGCTAAAGAAGGGAGTGATGCTGGGCCCGGAACCCCTCTCAACCTGGGTCAAAGCAGGACCCTTAGTCATTCTAAACGTGGGAAAATCAGTCACAAAGCTGCCAGCTGCTCTGATAGAATGTGGAGGTGTTCTTTGACAGGCCCATTTTAAGAATAAAAAAAAACCCCACACAACAATTCAACATAATGGAAGTCTTGTGTGAAACATGGATTTGAATTGGTAAATTAATATAGAATAAAAAATTTCAAGTACCCTAATGGATAACTTAAGTGTACTCAGAAAGCTTAAGAAGTGACCACAGTGGTGTCTGAAGGTGTTAAAAGGTGATCTTCCCTCCTGGGGACGTTTGGGGGATGTGTAGCTAAGTGATTGCTGCAGAGCAGGCCGGACCTCTGTGGCCTTTTAAAGACACAGTCACCACTTGCTGCTCAGGTGAGGATGGCAGTTGTTCCCAAACTGTGAGGCACGCTGTGAAGTCTAGAAAGCTCACAGAGAATGTGGCAATTTGAGAGGGAAATTCGTTCAAAACAGCCACTCTTGTGGATGTTTGCTTGTCCTTGGACGGATAGCAAACATCGGTGAACTCCGTTGCCAAGGCAGCTGCGTAAAGATTACACCTCAGGGCTCCTCGGGGCGGCGAGTTCGCCTGCAGGGAAATGGACTCCCAATTACCACTCAGCCTCACACGCGGCTCATGGGGCGCGTAATAAACACACACAGGAAAGCCGTGTGCAGCTTTACAGAAAGCCAACAGCGGTGTGGCCGCTGCTCTAGCTCGGAAGAAGTACTCTCAAATGGATCAATATGCAAAAAGGGCAGCGATTTTCCCTGTAAACATGCCGCCTCTAAAAGCCGGAGGCAGCGGGGAGGGGGTGGACAGACAGAGCAGCCCCCCTAGGAAGAATGCTTTGAGGCAGGTCTTCCCACACCGAGCATCCATCCGGAGATCTGGAGGAGGCCCCCCTGCCCCGTCTCTGCTGGGCAGGTGGCCCATCAGAATCCCCCACCCCCACCCCCACCCAAGCTGTTTTCTATGGCGCTCTCCTCTCTGAGCCCCACCCCAGAGGTTCCACCTGGGCCTCCCGAGGGAGAGCCATCAGACGGGTAAAGGAAATGAAAAGCTAAATAAGCTTGGATGTCTATGTAGGGATCGTAAGAACAAGGAATAATCGTTGGTAAACGTTCTGCGGCCAGCTGGGTCGAGTGGAGGCAGTTTCTAGGAGAGCGTCTGCAGGGAGGGCGCACGCAGTCAGCGTTTTGCAGGGACCTTTTGAACCTCTCTAGGTGCCGCGAAGAGCTCATGCAATGATCCTCCAGGAAAATGAAAGATCAAAGCTGTGGCAAGTGCTAGGCAGGGGAGGGACCGGGCGCCACGGAGGAATGTCAGGAGCTCGACTTGGTCCGAATATCAGCAAGGCTCCTCCACAAAGGGCCAGGCCAGCCTGGACGGAGAGGCTGCGGAAGGGAGCGCTGACTAGGCCGAGCGAGTGCGGAGCGAGGAGAATATTCCAGTAAGAGGACAGAGCAAGAGCAAAGGCTCGTACTGCAAAGCCTGCGTGCAGAGGCGGAGGGAACAATGGCGTAAAGGCAGGCAGGCGGGGTCCCGGCCCAGCGGAGGCAGGGCTTAGGGACCACGCTAAGAAGTGTGCTTTTTGTCCCGAAGGCAGTGGGACGTCAGTAAGGGATGCTAAGGAAGGGAGTGATGCAAACAGACTCACATCTTGAGTTCATTACGTTAGGAGGGGAGTGGAGGTGGAGGCCAGTTGGGAGGGAGAGGATAACAGCTTAGACCAGGGCGATGGGAGACGCTGGGAGAAAGACACTGGTTCCAGAGCGGCTCAGGCAGGCACACGGAGCGCGGTGCTGGGCCCGGAGCATGACTGCGAGGGAGATGGCAAGGTTGGCTTCCAGGCCGTGGTTTGTCCACGTCTATGATAGTGCCACTGGAGGAGATCGGAACACCAGCAACGATCTGGGGAGGATCCTGGCTCGACTGGAGCACACTGGGCTTGAAACGCCCTGAGATGCGAGTAGGATGTGTACAAGCGGAAGGAGGTGGCCAGGGAAGGCTCTCACCTGCCCTGCTAATTTCCCCAAGAGGTCGTGCCCGG